CGAGAGGGGGTGGAGGCCCCATCCCTGGGAACATTCCAGGCCAGGTTGGCTGGGGCTGTGAGCAACCTGGTCTGGTTAAAGGTGTCCCTGCTCCTGCAGGGGGGTTGGACTAGATGACCTCTAAGGGTCCCTTCCAAACCAAAACATTCTATGAAAGCTGATTCACTTGAGGATAAATGGAGCGTCTTAATTTATGCAGTCACCCTTTGATGGTGACACAGACATCGAGACTTAACCCTTTCAGGAATTTTTATTGCAATTAGGCCGTAGCTCATTCCTTGCAAGCAGGAATCAAGCGGGAATGGTGCAAACCAGCACAATGTCCAGGACCAGCTCACGTTTCTTCTGACCTTTAAGACCTGAAGAATTTGCCTCTTCCTTTGCTTATGTCGGCCTTGCTTTGTGCAAAGGCAAAGCCAAGATTTTCTGGGTAACAGGAGTAGAACTACCAGTTTTGGGTACAGATATAGCAAAATTGGGACCAAAGACTGGACACTGGGGGTGAAGAAAGAGGTAAAAGAGCAACAAAATAGGGCCAAGAAATAGGAAGAGGGATAGTAGGGTGACTGGTGCTGTCTGATGGTACCTGTTGGATTGACATCCATAGGACAATAAACCCGACCTACTCTTCTGACTACCCTGTTAAGAGCCAGACCTGCTTTGGGGGTCAGGAGGACTGAGGTGGGAGCAGGGCGGGTGCTTTCCCTAGCAAGCCCAGGGTGGGCAGATGGAGCATCCTGGTGTTGCCCCCATCGGCACCTGCTCTGGCCCCTTCGGAAACACTAGCTGCCCACCTCTTCAGAACGAAGTGTTGATGACTACAGTTGGTTGTGCTGTGGTCATGTCAGTGCAGGAGGTGAGAGGCACACTTTGTTCAATTCCTTGTTTTCTCGCCACCCATATGTCTCTAACAACAGGCTCTACAACTTCCCTTATTTTTGCCACCACGTTTCTTAAATCTAGGTTTTTCCAGAAATTAACGTGCTGGAGAGAAGGTTTCACTTCCTCATCCATTATCTTCTCTACACCCTCTTCCTTCATTTTTTCCAAATGTTTCCTTGCTTTTTCCTCCAAGAGGATCTCCAGCTCCTCTCTCCAATATCCTTCTCCATAGTTACAGCAGAACCAGAAGGGGTACATGTAGTACAGGCCGTAAAGAATGATGACAGCAGTAAGACTGACCAGCCCTACAACCTGAAAGGAAAAACATTAAAACTAAGGATGTCACTGGACTTTATGCTCCTAAAAATGTTTTGCACCTGAGTGGGAGGAGTCACCGTTTTAATACGTCACTGTATTAAAACCCTTGCATTAGCATTAAGCCATGTAATTCCTTTTGCAAAATACATTCCTTGCTCCTGCTGTGGCGAGATGACAACTGTGTTCAGGGTTCGGCCCCTCACTCCAAGAAAGACTTTGGGTTACTGGAGCATGTCCAGAGGAAAGCGATGAAGCTGGGGAGGGGTCTGGAGCGCTGGGCTGCTGGGAAGCAGCTGGGAGAGCTGGGGGTGTTCAGCCTGGAGAAGAGGAGGCTGAGGGGACCCCTTATCGTTCTCTACAACTGCCTGAGAGGAGGCTGTAGTGAGGTGGGGGTGGGCCTCTTCGCCCTGGTAACAGGGGATAGGATGAGGGGAAATGAAGTTGCACCAGGGCAGGTTTAGGTTGGACATTGGGAAAAATTCCTTCATGGAAAGGGTTGTCAGACACTGGAAGGGGCTGCCCAGGGAAGGGGTCGAGTCCCCATCCCTGGGGTGATTTAAAATCCATGCAGACAAGGTGCTTAGGGCCAGGGTTTAGTGGTGGGGTGGCAGGGTTAGGGGAACGGTTTGGCTTGGTGATCTTAAAGGGCTTTTCCAACTGAAACGATTCCATTATTCTATGATGGTAAGAGATCTACTCAATGAAACAAGAACCATCAGTCTCCCTCTCTCAAACAGTACATTATTTCTTATTTTCATTAGACATGCTTTAAGAACCAGATGCAAAACTCATGTGTACACTTCCAGAAGAACCATGGAGTAAGACGAAATGGTTTTCCTGTTGCTATCCATCCCATATTCTCCACACAGACAGAATAAGTGACACTGAAATACCTAAAATCCTAGATTCCTAGGACTCTTACCTGAGATATTACGTAGAAGTCACTGGGTATTTCTCCTGCTCCGCTTTGGGTTGCAGTTTGAGTGCTGTTTCCTTCATTTCTTGAAGCCACGCAGCCTATGTATCTGCCGTCGCACAGGAGGATCACGCACCAAATCAGAGGAGGTAGAAATGCCTTAAAAACGACCTCACTCTTCCGGCAGCATGAGCATTTCCTAATGCAGCGAGCCCAGGGAATGCAGGCAGGGTTGGAGGTCAAGCTCAGGAAAAATACGATGAAAGCTGGGCAGAAAAAGTAGGAAAAAACGTACCATTTCTTCAGTGACTCCTTCTGGGGACATTTAAATTCAATCTCCATTATTTCTTCAACCACAACCAGAATTATGGAATAAAGTGATACAGTCAACACGTTATAATTCTTTTTCCAAAACCCCACGAAATTCTTTCTGACTTGCATTTTGTTTGGTGGTCAATAATTCCCCAGCTCAGAGGATTGAGGAAGTCTTCTACGCCTCTCTATCACATAGCTCATCTTCTTATGCACTTTCTATCACTGTTTTCAAAACAGCAGAGAGGAAGTGAAAATTAGAACACGAAGAGTAATCAGGTGTGTGCACAGCTACAGTGTGACTTCGTAGATTTTGCAACTTGTGGGTTCGGATCTCCCGTGCTCTGTGCAGAATCACAGACTAGTTCAGGTTGGAAGGGGCCTCCAGAGGTCATAGAATCATAGAATCATGGAATTGTTGAGGTTGGAAAAGCCCTTTAAGATCATCAGGTCAAACCATTCCCATAACCCTGCTATCCCACCACTAAACCCTGTCCATAAGCACCTCATCTGCCCAGCTTTTAAATCCCCCCAGGGATGGGGACTCGACCCCTTCCCTGGGCAGCCCCTCCCAGTGTCTGACAACCCTTTCCATGAAGGAATTTTTCCCAATGTCCAACCTAAACCTGCCCTGGTGCAACTTCAGACCATTTCCCCTCATCCCATTGCCCGTTACCAGGGAGAAGAGACCGACCCCCACCTTGCTACAGCCTCCTGTCAGGCAGTTGTAGAGGGCGATAGGTCTCCCCTTAGCCTTCTCTTCTCTGGACTAAAGAACCCCAAGGTGATTTGGTCCAACCCCACTGCTCAAGCAGGGCCAGATGGAGCCGATTGCCCAGGACCTTGTCCAGACACCTTTTGAACACCTCCAAGGATGGAGGCTCCACAGCCTCCCTGGGTAACAACATCTGTAAGCCTCAGGGACCAGTTTGGGGCTCAATGTCCTCACTACATTTTTCCATCCCTATGACATCTTCTTGGAGAGTCACCTTGGTTGTGTAAGAGGCAGCAGGCACAAGCTGCAACATGAGAACTTCCCATGAAATGGAAAGAAAAATTGGTGTTGTAGCTTTTTACCATGAGGTTGGTCAAAGATTAGAACAAGCTGAGGAAACTCCACCTTTGGAGGAGCTCAAGGCTCAAGCATCCTCATCTAACAGGACCTGCTTCGATCAGGGTGTTGGACTAGATGACCTCCAGACGTCCCTTCCAACCTAAATTATTTTATGGTTCATTGGTTTGTTCTTTCTTTTTCGCCGTTGCATTATTGGCGTTAATCAGGGTCACGCCATAAAGTTTGCCAAGATTATGAAAGCTGAAACCAAGTTCCAGCTGTGCTTCTGCAGGCTGAGACCCCAAAATAGAGAGGTATGCAATTAAACAAACAAGAGGAGTGCAGACAGTGCTTAAATTGGAAAATTAAGCTTTTCCATAAGATCTGAAACAGAATGGGATGTAATGAGAGGTGCCCAGAGAAAGAAAAATAAAGTCATGGTGTGCTGGTGGTTAACCTGGATGTCAACTGTGGTGCTCATCCACCTTGTGATGCCTCGTAGGCAGGATAGGGAAGCCGGCTCTAATGTTATTTTAGTTTTTAAAAGTCACAGTAACAATAAATAACCACGAATTTTCCTGGCCTCAGAACTCAGACGAAAAATACGCAGCGATTTTGCCTTGAGTAAGGGACGTACAATATACCAATGCACAAGGAAGTGTTCTACAACCGCCATGCAAGGTTAGTTATCAGACGGGCGATCTCTGCA